CAACATCCTTAAATAAACCTTGACTAGACATCCTTAGACTAGTTGACTAAGCTATGACCCTGAAAAATTTAAGATTATCTATATACTATCTTTGTCTCATTTCAAATTTATAGAAACATGGTGGGTAGGTGTAGTGGGGAATGGCTGAGGTGGGGTTCAGAGGGAAGAATAGACATAGGGTCAGTAGAAAACTCATTCCTGGGTTGGTGTTAAAGGGGAGTCCTCGAGGTTTTTAATTTAAGAGACATGATACTGGTGGCCTGGTACTTGCTCTGTTCCTTGGCCAGCTTTAATTTGGAAAGATGAATCCAACCAGGTTGTCTCGAGAGCTTGGCTGCAGTCGGGGTAGAAAGGATCACCAGGTGAGGACCAACGCAGCTGGAGGGTTTCCTTCACTCTTTTCTGTTGGGTGTGAACCCGCAGGTAGGTGTGATCTGCAGGTTGAAGTGGGTGATCAATTTGGCCTTTAGAAGCCTGGGGAATAATCCAGTCAGCATGTTCCTTGAGTAGTTTCCTTAGAAGGGTGAAGGCAGGTACATAGTTGTGTAGAGGGGAGGGATGCTGGAGGAAGAGGTTGTCCTTGGCTAAAATTAAGGCCCTGGTGGGTGTCACAAGTTTGGCTTTTTGTGATGTGGTTCCAAGTGGTAGGGGTCCTGACTCAATGACATCTGTGAGAGAGACCATGGCCTGTGGGACACCATTGGGGTGAGAGTTAACCAAGTTAGGGTTGGGTTTGGTAGAGGATTTGGGGGAATTAGGGGATCCCATAGGAGAGTTCCTGAAGAGTTTGCAGGCACAAGTGAGTGAGTGAGCGGTTCACTGGAAGGGAGGTAGGAAGCTGGATTGAGAGGAGGGCAGGAATCAAGGGTGGGCAAGGGGTTTTTAAAGAAATGTGACATGGAAGAGTTGTCATTTAGAGGGAGCTAGATTGGCAAGAGATGTGTAGGTTAATTAAATGCTTAAGCTGGTGGGGGAAAGGGCAGAGATGGGCTGACCCAAAGTGAGCTTAATTCCCTCTGGAGCCAGGAGGGCGGTAGTGGCCAGAGCATGGAGGCAAGGTTGCCAGTCCCAGATAGTAGTATTACACTGTTTAGAGATAACCTACTGGGGCAAAAGTGGGACCCCCTCATCTGTCCCCAAACCCCTAATACCTGGTCCTTATTTTTAGTTGTATAAAAGAGGAATGGACATTTGAGGTTGGGGAGAGGTAGACCCGGTAACTTTAAGAGTGTTTATAGTTGTGGAAGGCTGCTATAATGGGCTCTAAGGGGTCAACAGACTCAGAGGAGTTCCCTTTGGAAGCTTTGTGGAGCTGCTTTGTAAAGAGGGCAAAGTTAGGAATCCAGGTGCACAGGTACCCAGCAATGTCTAGGAAAGATAGAATTTTCTCCTTGGTTGCTGGGCAGGGGGGCTTTAAAGACCTTAGGTAATTTGTCCTATCTATAGCTAAATGGCAGGATGTAGGTGTGAGAAAGAACCCCAAGTACTTGACTTAAGGGAGGAAAGGTGACTC